GCTGGGCTGGGGGGCTGGTTTCTGTGCAGTCATCCCTGCTGGGCCCCCTGGAGCTGCCACCTTCTTTTTTTTTTGTTTTGTTAACCCTTATCCAATATATTTTTCCACTGATTTTTAGGGAGAGTAGAAGAGGGAGGGAAAGACCGAGAGAAACATCGATGTACGAGAAACACATCGATTGGTTGCCTCCTGCACGAGCTCCGACCAGGGCCCGGGCCAGGGAGGAGCCTGCAACCAAGGTATGTGCCTTTGCCTGGAATCGAACCCAGGACCCTTTGGTCCGAAGGCTGATGCTCCATCCACTGAGCTGAACCGGTTAGGGCTGGAGCCACCGTCTTGAGTCTAACAGCCTCTGTGTTTCCTGGGGCTGCAGGAACAGCAGCCCACAAAGGGGGCAGGGTGGTGGTGGGTGTTTTCCTAAAACCACAGGAATTGATCCTCTCACACCTGGAGGTGGGAAGTCTGAAGTCCAGGTGTTGGCAGGGCTGAGCTCCCTCTGAAGGCTGTGAGGAGATCTGTTCCGGCCCCCTTCCCTCTGTGCATGACTGTCTCTCTGTCCATGTTTTCTAAGGACACCAGTCACATGTGATTAGGAGTCCACCCTACTCAGTGTGACCTCATCTTAGCGAGTTACATTTGCACCCTCGCTATTGCCAGTTAAAGCCGCAGTCTAAGGCCCGGGGGTTAGGACTTCACAGTATGAATCTGCTTCTTCCAGCCCATATCGGTTTTCCTTACATACTCGGAGAATGACATGACCCACTTGGGCCCGGGGACTCTGAGGTCCAACTCTGCAGTCCCTTGGGGAAGCGATGGAGGGACCAGTAGCCCAAAGGCCCAGCAGACATGGAGCTGCTGAGTCCCCCTCACTGTCTGCCTGGAAGAGGCTGGCGCTGGTGCGAATGAGGGAGGCTCCTTGGTTGGACCACCTGCTGTGAGCCAGGTTCCGAACAGGCAGGGTGAATGGTCCCTGATTTACAGACTGGCCGCCGAGACCCAGTGAGGTGACTGCACGGGATCAGCACAGAGGCTGAATTTGAACCCAGTGCCCTCAGCTCCTGAGTATGTGAGTGTCTTGCCAGTGCACTGCCACCCTGTTGACGTGGGGTGTGTGTGAACTGTTTTGCCTGTAGTTTATTGCCTCAAAAGACTGTACCAGCTCTGACCGGTTTGGCTCAGTGGATGGAGAGCGTCGGCCTGCAGACTGAAGGGTCCTGGGTTCGATTCTGGTCGGGGGCATGTACGTTGGTTGTGGGCACATCCCCAGTAGGAGGTGTGCGGGAGGCAGCTGATCGATGTTTCTCTCTCATCGATGTTTCTAACTCTCTGTCCCTCTGCCTTCCTCTCTGCAAAAAATCAATAAAATATATTTCAAAAAAAAAAAAAAAAAGACTACCTATCAGGGGCCATCTCTCCCAAGCCTGCCTCCCTCCCTGCGAGGAGAACAAAGGCCTGGTGTCCAGTTCATGCTCAGAGAAGACACTCACTCACCCACTCACTGAGAGCCAGGAAGCCCAGCTGAGTGCAGGGGTGGGTGGGGTGTTAAACACGCCAGGAAAATGCCTGAGAGTAGTGAGTATTAGGTGGCCGTGGTGATGGAGTGGCTGGGCACCCAGCTGGTGAGGGAAGGGGATCCGGGTGAGCTGACGCACCAGCAAGGGCAGAGGCCCTGTGTCCGGGGCGCTGGCCGACGCAGGTGGGATGGGGCGAGTGCCAGGAGGTGAGGTCAAAGAAGCATGGACTTTGGATGGTAAGGAACTTGTGATTCTGCACCAAGTGGACAGCCCCTGAGGGGCAGTGCCCCGGTCACTTCTGGATTGGCAGTGGGGCCCTGGGCTGGGAGGCGGCGGCTTGCTTTGGCCGGGTAGAGGAGGTGGTGAGAAGTGGACTTGAGGAGGAAGAGCCAAAAGGACGGACCTCGGGTTGGATGTGAGGCGTGGTGAGGAGGAGGGAACGGAGAACATGGGTAATGGGTTTGCGGGGAGAATGTGGAGGTTCCTTGTTGCTGCTGCTGCATCGAACTGTCTTGGTGGAGAGCCCCTGACACTTGTAAAGACTCAAGAGTCCTGCAGGCCTCCAGCGTGAGTGCTGGCTTGTTGGGGAGGCTTTGAGCTAACAGGGAAAAGAGGGAAGCCTCGAGCCTCCTCTCCCTTCTCCAGTCCTGGACTGGAGACCTGCATACGGCGGCCGCTGGGGTCACCTGCTTCTCCCTGCACTGGCCGCCAGGGCTGCAGGAAGAGGTTTTGCTGCCACCTTGTGGACAAGCGGAACCTGTGACGTTGAGGGATATTGGGTGACGCTGGGGCTGCGTAGCTCTGGGATCGTCTGGGCTGCAGGGAGAAGCTGAAGATTTCCCTGAGCCACCCACATGCACCTGGGTGTCAGCAGGCAGCTAGCCCACCCCTCCTCTGAGGAGGCCAGCCACAGCTAGCTCCCTGTGGGCCGCGTGGCCTCAGCTGGGCATACCTCAGCTTATCAGCGGATCACCCGGCAAATATTTGAGTGGAGACTCAAGTAGGTGCAGGTTCTGTGGGATTCCTGAGCCCGAGGCCGCCCTTGCCCTGCTCAGGACCAGTGTTCTGTGTCTGCAGCGCCTGTAAGTCAGGCCTTCGCCGGGTCCTTCTCTTCACCTTAGCTCCCCTGACGCGGTCAGTAGTATATTCCTGCTGCCCCAGTCACACAATTGCACACCCAGAGCAAGGTGACAGGCCCAGCAGCACGCTGCGTGTGCATAGACTCAGCATCTTCTGATTTCCAGGCCCTCGGACCAGAGGAGCTGTGCAGTGCTCAGCTTCTGCACGCTTGGCTCTCGGGGCTGCGTGCCCATCCTCACCCGGAATGCTCACTGTAGGCATCGCCTCTTCCGTTCCCCCAGAAACTGCCATGGTGACCTCACCCCCAAGCGACAGGTTTAACTTGGTGTTGCTGATGACCGACAGATAGCTGACCTGAGGGCTGTTTTACGGATTTTCTGTCCGGTCTGCAAGGTCGCAAGCTGGGAGCTTTGGGTGCTGCACTCGTGTCCTTCAGGCTTGTTGAGCAGAACTGTTTACCGCTTCTCTTTGGAGCAGAATCTTGTGAGACAGAACAGAGACCTCGTCCCTGGTGGGGCCGATGCCCGCGAAGAGCTGTGTGCCTGCCCTGTTCTCCTTTCTGGGGTCTCCGTGTCCTTGGGCTCTGAAGTGCAGGCAGGTGCCCTCTCATTTCTGCCCATCGGGAACGGGTTCTGGGAAAGGGCTGGGAGGAGGCAGCCCGTTGACGAGGAAGCTGTCTGGGTTTGGGAAGTCACCATTTTGCCGGGGCTGGTCATACAGGTGCAGGGGGAGCCCAGAGCTGGTGTGTCCCCTGGGAACAGATGTCCTTCCATCCCTGGTACTGGGCACTGCTGCCCAACCTCCCTGTGCCAGTGTGCATGTAGCTGGCGGGGGTGGGGGGCTTTTCCCCTCCAATCCATCCTGCTACTCCCAGCAAGAGCCAGTGGATTCTAAAGCAGCCCATCCCCTCTGGGTACCTTGTTCCCTCTCCCTCCGTCCCCAGATGGCCCCCAGACTGCTGTCCTCTGCGTGCATTTTCATTGGCTTGGGGGAAGGGTTTGGGATGAGCACCTTATTCTTTGGGGGAGGGGCAATTCTGTGAGAGAGAGAGAGAGAGAGAGAGAGAGGGAGAGAGAGAGAGAGATGCGCGCAGATAGGGAAGTTGGAAGTCGAGTGTGGGAATTTTAAACTTGGAAATGTGAGTCAGGATTCCTGGGTCATGTTCGGGTCTCCATGCCTGAAGGATCCTGGGAAAGGCCCTTCAGCGGAACCATCTATTATGTGGAGACTATGCACCCCGAGAGGACAAAGCCAGCCTCATCACTGTTACTGACTAGTCCCAAGAGAACACAACTTCACCCCAGGCCTCTCCGGGCGATCCAGTCCGGGACTTGGGAATTCCCAGCCCTTTTCTGCCCCAGCACCTTGGGATGGAGAGGCCCTGCCTTCCTCAGGCATTTACCCCCCTCCAGCCCCCTCTGGAATGTGCCACTTTATCTTGTACTTTGCTTCTGACTAGGACCATGGCTCTAAAGCTAAGAGGCAAGTTGGGAGTTGGGTTGGACTGAGGAAACCGGGAGCATTACCTCTTTAAAGGAAAAGAGCCCCTCACCTTCGCCACTTCCCAAACTGGTTTCTCCTGATCTGCCCGGGGTCCTGTGGATTCGGTAAACTGGTCCCTGGCTCCTCTCCAGGGCGCTGGAGGAGGACTGGGAGAGCCCAGAGCTTAATGAGTGTCTGGTGCAGCCCACACTGCAAAGTCAAAGGGCTTGGAGAGAGCGCGTCCGTCCGCGCTGCAGGCCAGCTCTTCACCTTGCTCAGCCAGTCAACCTCCGGGCACCTCTGGACAGGAGGCGAGGCCCGGGGCTGCAGACCAGAGGTCAGGAACCCGTAAGTTGAGTTTTCCTTGTCCAGAACTGTATGGTCCAAGTCCACAGGTCACCTTTGTGTTTTCCACTGCCCTGAGGCAGGACGACACAAGCCAGTCCCGACGATGTCACCGAGGAGGAAAGCCTCAGTCGTGAACAGAACAGCAACTCCCCTGCAGCATCCAGCAGCCCTGCTCGGCCAGCTCCCCAGCCTCGGCATGTCTGAGCCTCGAACTAAGCTGGGGTCCCCTCATTTGAGCTTCCCATTTTACAGATCAGGAGACAAAGGCCCAGAGAGGGTGTGTGACGGCCTCCTAACTCTTACTTCACCCTTTTCCTAATTCCGGCCCTGGCGTTGCACCATCAGGTTTTTCCTTTGGAGAAAGAGTGGCCCACTTCTGTCCAAAGTGGGCCCAGTAGGGACTGTTAGTTCCTTGGCCTGCGCTTAGTGACAGCTCCTCACCTACCTGCTCCACTCTGAGGAGGAGCCCTGGGCTGGAATTTCCTGTTTTCCGAGGGCTCCCGGGGCTGCCCCAGTGGGCCGGCTCCCCAGCGCCGCCGTTCCGGGGTGTTCCAGGCCGGGCTTGCCGCCTCTCTCTCCTTGCTGGGCAGGCTCCGGGCCTCGCCAGGTCTGGGCTTGCCGGCCGCGCGGTGGAGGAGTTGTGGGACTCAGTCGACCGATGCCAGGTGCCCAGAGGCCGGAGGTCCGTGCGCCGCGGCCCCGGCCCCGGCCCGGGCCTCGCCCCGCGCCCCTCGCCATGGGCCTGGCCCTTGCCCGCGGGCCCTGACCATGGAGCAGGGCTGGCCGCCCGGGGACAGCTGCAGCCGGGAGCGGCCCGCCGCCTGCCGCCGCGCCCTCAGTGTCTGCGACTCGCTGGACCTGCACGGCGCCCCGGCCGACCGCGCGGCCCCCGCCCTGCCGGCCGCCCTGTGCGCTGGGCGCGAGCCGCCGGCACGGCCGCTGAGCGTGTGCTCCGGGGACCCGGGGCCGGCGCCCTCCGGCGCCCGCAGCCTGCTGCTCGGCTTCCTGCGCCCGCGCCTCGGTCGCCGAGGCCCCGCCGACGGCCGCCCGCTGGTCCCGGGGCCCGCGCCCCCCGAGCGCCCCGGCTCCGCCGCGCCCAGCCCCGCGCCCGCTCGGCGCAGCCGCTCCGGGGGCTCCCAGGCGCCGCGGCCGCGGCCCACCAGCATGACGTTCCTGGAGGTGAACCGCCTGGAGCTGGCCGAGGCCGAGGCGGGCGCGGGGCTGGGGCGCGCGGGCAGCGCCGGCTTCCTGCGGGGCGCCTCGCTCTGGAGCAGCCAGCGCTGGCAGGTGTGGCGCGGCGGCGGCGGCGGCGGCGGGCGCGCGGCCCCGGGGCCCCGGCGCGGCCTGTCGGCGCTGAAGAAGAGCTTCAGCTTCCGCCTGCGCCGCGGCCAGGAGATCCGGCGCTCGGAGTCGGGGCCGCTGCCCCGCGCGCGCACCCGCAGCGACGGCGACGCCAGCTCGCTGGGCGCCTTCCCCAGCCGCCGGGACTTGCTGCTGGGCGCCGAGGCCCCGCGCGCCGCGCCCGAGCCCGGTCGCCCCCGCTCCGCCGCCGGCCTCTGGAAGCTGCTCACCAGCCGCTTCCGCCGCAGGGACCCCGCGCCGCAGCCCGCGCCCGTCGAGCCGCTGTGGAGCCGCCGGGCGGCCGCCGCCCCCGGGCTCCTGGGCGCGCTGAGCGGTAAGAGGGAGCGCCCGGCCGGCCGGGGTCCTTCCAGTTGGAGTCCAGGCTGAGCGGGTGGGAGCCCGGAACCTCGCGGGCGAGGGGGGCGTGTCGTGGGCCAGGGACGGCGGGACGCCGAGTGAGGGCAGCGCCCAGCGGGCTCTGGGCGGTGATGGTCCCGGTGCCAGCGTGGCCCCGACCTGGTGGAGTAGGAGGCCTTCGTGGCTTTTGGCACGTGCAGCGTGGAGGCCAGGGCAGCCTCGGGCGGAAGGCATTTCTGTTTTCTAGCTCCCGCGGGCTTGAGCACTCCCTTACCGCGGCTTCTGCAGATGAGCGCAGGGGCTGCTGTGGACGCGGTTGGTCAGTGGGTCGTTTGGTGCGATAACTACTCATTGAGAGCCTGGGTGGGGAAGCAAGCGCGGCCCAGGGGGTTGCCATTGCCACCTAGAAAATGAAGAGGTTGTGCAAGCCCTCGGAGGGCTCTGGGTGGCACATTCTCCGTCCCCAGGACAGTGCCAATGTCAGGCCCGCTGCCCTGGTCTGAGAATGGGCTGAAGAGGGAGCCTGGGAGGCGGGTCTCGGGAAGGAAGGGTGGTGGCCTCCCAACAAGGAGGAGCTGCGGGTGGAGGGCTGTCACAGAACAGGGCCAGGTAAGGCCTCCTCCCTCTTCACCTTGGCAGGAATGTGTGGGTGGCCCCACCCTGCACAGGGGAGCTGTTCCTACTCGCTGCAGGAGGCTGGCCCCCCTGCCCAGCTGCCGAGTGCCCAGCCCAGCGTGGGTCTGGGCTGAGACCTGCTGGAGCTGCTCTCACCTCGGCCTATTGTCTGGGCCCCCGGGGCACCAGGCTGGGTGTGGCGCAAGGTGGGAGCTACTTATTTTGTTGGAGCAGTAAGAGGAGGAGGACCCAGGTCCAGGCCAGGGGGCAGCCCACACCTCTCAGTGTCCTCCCCCTGAGGACTGTCTTCACTCTGTTCCACTGCCCTGCTGCTCCCTAGGGAACTAGGGGTGAGGGTTAGGGTCCCCTCTGGACAGTCCTCTGGCCTGGGCCTAGGAAAGGGCAGTGTAGGAGACAGCTGGTAGCAGATGGCACAGGTGTGGGTGCCACCCAGTCCTGACAGGCAGCCTTCTCTTCCGCAGACTCCTTTGTGAACAGCCAGGAGTGGACCCTGAGCCGCTCGGTGCCGGAGCTTAAAGTGGTGAGTGAGGCGGGGAGGGCCGGGCAGCCCCCCTCTCCTCCAGGCCTCTCCCTGCAGCGTCCTTCTGGCCCTCTTTCCCCTTCAGCACTGGTCCTTAGTCCTTATGGTTTCTGCCTTTCCTGCCCCATCTCCTCCGTGTGCCTTCTGACCGCTGCTGCCGCCCCTTCCTCTCCCACAGGGCATTGTGGGGAACCTGTCTAGTGGAAAGTCGGCCCTTGTGCACCGCTATCTGACGGGGACCTATGTCCAGGAGGAGTCCCCTGAAGGTGAGCGTCACAGGCTGGCTGCGCTGGGGGTGGGGGGCTCGAGCCCCGTCTTTCTCAGCTCCTGCCTCCTTAGAAGCTGTGTGTTTCTTCTCTGCTTGGCCCCGCGGGCGCTTCTCCCAGCTGCGGCCCTGACTGTGCACTCTGTCCTAGGGGGTCGGTTTAAGAAGGAGATTGTGGTGGATGGCCAGAGTTACCTGCTGCTGATCCGAGATGAAGGAGGCCCACCTGAGCTCCAGGTGAGGCTCCTGCCCAGCTCTGTTCATTGAGTGTGTGGGGAGAGGGGTCCAGAGTCCGCCCTGACCAGGCGAGGCTGGTAATTGTGCTCGGTCCCCCCTAGTTTGCTGCCTGGGTGGACGCGGTGGTGTTTGTGTTCAGCCTGGAGGATGAGATCAGCTTCCAGACAGTGTACAACTACTTTCTGCGCCTCTGCAGCTTCCGCAACGCCAGCGAGGTGCCCATGGTGCTGGTGGGCACGCAGGGTGAGCGGGCCTGCGGGCCGGGTCCCTAGGCGGGCAGGTGTGTGAAAGCCCATCCGCCACCCCCCCTGCTGCCCCACGTTGACTGAGCCCTCATGGACCCAAAGGGGCTCCTCATCCTGGCTCTACCCAATGGGTCTTCCCCAGCTGCATCCTGCCAGCCTGTGACAACAGGGTCCGTGTTTTCTGAGATCGTTTAACCGAGTGGCTGGCTCATTTCCACTCAGCGCGTTGGGGGCAGAGCTGGAGCGAGGCCATCCTGGGTTCCTGTGCTCACCCAGCCCCTGACCAGAGGCCCTCCCTCAGCGCTCAGCTTCTCCGCAGGCTGAGTTAATCCCCACCCTGGCCTCCACAGATGCCATCAGTGCCGCCAACCCCCGCGTCATCGACGACAGCAGGGCCCGCAAGCTGTCCACAGACTTGAAGCGCTGCACCTACTATGAGACGTGCGCCACCTACGGGCTCAATGTGGAGCGCGTCTTCCAGGACGGTAACTCGGCGCCCGGCGGGACTGCTTCCCCCGTGGGTCAGGCGGGCCCTCTGGCCAGCGGCGCGGGCTCCGGGGGGCGGCTCTAAGCGGGCTTCTCCCTGCTCCCCAGAGGGGTAACTGACTGTGCTGTCCCTGCAGTGGCCCAGAAGGTGGTGGCCTTGCGGAAGAAGCAGCAGCTGGCCATCGGGCCCTGCAAGTCACTGCCCAACTCCCCCAGCCACTCGGCAGTGTCCGCCGCCTCCATCCCGTCCGTGCACATCAACCAGGTGCGGCAGCCTCCCCGCGTCCCCGAGCTCGCGCCTCAGCCCCGCCTCACATACTGTCTGTCTGCCTGCCTGTCCCCTCCTCATCCCGTCTCCTGCCTTGTGGACGGTTTGGAAGCCCTGGCTCGAGTTCATGCAGCCTGTGCGACTGCCCTGGCCTCATCTGCACGCCTGTGGTGACTGCCTTCCTGCTAGCGCCCCACCCCGCTCGCCACCCTCTGACCCTGCAGCCCCTGCAGCCGAGGCAGCAGACACTTGCTCTAGGGAGCGCTGTCAGGGCTGCTTCAGGGGCCGCTGCCCGGGGAGCAGACTCAGGAGGCACAGAGGCGTACTTATTGGGACTAACCAGCCCCTGGCAAAACTGGGAGCGTGAGCAGGCCCCCCACCTGTCAGCCCTGTCGGTGTGTGAGTTTAGAAGGGCAGTGCCTGCCCCACAGGGACCAATGGTTTTCATGCCGTGTGGGGTACGGGGGGAGGGGGGCTTCTGAGCCAGGTTCTTCCAGTGTCCTCCCATAATTCCACTTTGACATCTGTCTACTTCCTGGCCCACTGCCTGGTTATTTTTCGGCCCCTGGCACATGGGCCAGAGCTTCCTTCCGGAAGTGCGTTTCCCACTCTGTCCCTGCTCTGCAGAGCGCTGGGCTGTCACAGGTGCCCCATGGACTGGCCCAGCGGGCAGATGCTGCTTTACTTCTGCCCAGGGCCCACCGGCCACCAGCTTCCTGTTGGCAGCCTGGTTGCTTTTTCCGAGATGCCTCCCTTTAGCATTTTAGAAGGCAGCCAGGCTCTCCCTGTGAGCGTCCCTCATGGAGCAGAACAGCAGGGACGTAGCTGTAGGCCTTCCTGCACCAGCTCTGAGCACTCCTCCTCAGTCTGCACGGGGCCCTGCCAGGGAGGCTGTGATGGGTGAGGGGGCGCAGCTCCTTTGCTCCTTGTGCAGGTGAGGGTCGAGGGGCCACCAGGGCCCTGGACTGTGTGTGTTCTGAGTCCTGGAGTAGACACTGGCATGCACTTTCTGCTCCCCTCTTGTCATCTTTTTTGTCTTTCCTCCTTCTCCCAGCCCTGTCCCTTCCTGCCACCTCCTCTGACAGTGGTCTGAGTTCTGTCATGTGCTCGGCCTCAGCTCTCCCGTGTCCCTTCCCCCATCACACACACTTCTTACAAGCAAACCTCGTCCTCCCCTGCCCCGACCTCCTGCATCCTTGACATATGTCACATCCAGGGTGACCTTGTGTCACACCCTCCTGTGAGCCGACTCCGCAGTTCACTTCCAGCCTCAGCTCCTGATTCCGACTTGCTAGCCACTGCCTCTCATTAGCTCCCTGGGGGGCACGGTGGGCAGCCCCATGCGGTGGCCTCCAGGCCATGCTGCCTCTCTCCTCGGTTCTGTCTAGTGGCCCCTCTGCTGCTCCCATGAGCCCCAGGCCAGGCTCCCCATACTGCAGGGCTCCTGCCTGCCGCCTGCCCCGGCACCCCACCCCAGAGCCGCCACGCCCTCAGCAGCCCTCTCTGTCCTTAGGCCACGAATGGCGGCAGCAGCGCATTCAGCGACTACTCGTCCTCAGTCCCCTCCACCCCCAGCATCAGCCAGCGGGAGCTGCGCATCGAGACCATCGCTGCCTCCTCCACCCCCACACCCATCCGCAAGCAGTCCAAGCGGCGTTCCAACATCTTCACGGTATGTGCCCGTGCCCGCCCCTCCCGCCTGCCCCGCCGCCTCCATCCAGCAGGCAGCGCCCACCTAGGAGGGGAGCCACCTGCAGCCTCCATCCACACAGACACACACAGCTCAGTAGGCTCTAACCGGCGCCCTGGTCCACACCCAGACTCTTCCAGGCTCTCTCTGAGCCCACATGGGCTGCCCTCAGCACATCCACATGGAGCCACCTGCCCTGCCGCACACACCTCCCCTCCCGGCCACCTTAGGGCTTCTTGGCCAGCTTGAGGGATCTGTGGAGGCATCTGCTCTCACTGCCCCAACACCCTAGATTTCGAAGTTGTGCACCAAGGCTACGCAGAGAGCTAGCGGCAGAGCTTGAACCAGGGCCCAGGCCTCCTGTCCACATTCTGATCTTTCCCATTCATCACCCCACGCTTCCTACCGCCGCTGCGGTTGGTCTAGCAAAGCCTTAGCCATCTTTCCTAGGCCTCCAGCCTGTGCCCCACCACCCTGCCTTTAACCTCACAGGTCGGTTCTCCCCTTCCCCGCAGACCTCACACCCAGGGCCTCATGTGCCTCCTGCTGCTTGGGGCCCAGCCCCTAAGCTCTTAGGTATCCTGTGCCTGCTGTCTGTCATGCCCAGGATCTAGCATCTGGCACATAGTCCACCCCCAAATGCTCACCCTCCAGCTGGGACTTGGCTGGACCATTCCAGGATCTTGGGTCAGACACAGGTGGGTGAGCTGCCGCGTGGATTCTCAGGAGACCGCCCTGTCCTTCTGCGTCACTCCATGCGCCTCTTTCTGAGCATCAGGGCTGGGCTCTCCGCCCGGCCTGTGTCTGCCCGCCAGGCCAGGCCCCAGCCGGGCTCTCAGGAACCAGTCCAGCAGAGCCAGTGCTCCCAGGCCTTGCCCATTCATTCTCGCCCTGCCCCGCCCAGCACACTTCTGCCCGGTCTGCCTGCCTCTGTCCCCTGTGCCTGCCACGCACTCCCGCCCTGTCCATGCTGACCCACCCTCTTTCTGCTGACAGCTGCCGCCATGCCTTGCACTCCCCAGCCTTGACCCTGCCTAGACTCAAAGCTTCTTATTTCTGTTCAGGCCCATTGAGACTCACAGGGCCTTGGGCTGCCTGCTTGTGCCACCTGCTGCTGCTGCTGCTACCACTGTAGAGCCTGTGGGTGCCTGTGTGACCGCCGTCCGTGCCCTCTGCACATCCTGCCTCCGTCACCTGCTCCCTCAGCACCATTCTTAACCTTCCACCTTCCTTTGCTGCTAGTCCTGCACATTTGGGCACGCCCTCCTTCTCCGTCCTTGCCATGCTCCTGGCCTCCTCGCCACGGCCTTCGTGCTGCCTGCCCCGTGCCCCTCTGCCGCCTGCTGCCACTGTGCCGCCTCCGCCTGCCACCCTCCCGCGGGCCTTCCATTCTCTCCATCTTCATGGTGGCAACCTTATTTCCCCTCGCATTGTTTCCATGGTGACCTCACTTGTGCCATTGTTCCCGAGGCTGCCTCAAGACATGTCCCCCATCTCTAAAGGTTCATCTCGAGACCTCCCCTCTCATCCTTGCTGTTGGGGCCACCCCCTCTCCTCAACATCTCCCTGGCAGAGCAACGCCTGCTCGAGCTGGTGCCCTTGTGACCCGCCCACTGGACATGGCTGTTGAGCTCTCCAGTCTCCCCCATGACTTCATGTACTCGTTTTGTTGACACTCTTGCCCTGGTTCCTGCCATGGGGGTGTGCCCTTCTGGGCTCCCGGGGACCCTCTGGTGGTTGGGGACCTCTCGGCTCACCAGTCTAGCTGGGGCAGGCTGCACCCCCTCCCTCCCCGCCCTCCAGTGGCAGCGATCCCACCCACCTTCCTTCTCCCCGGGCCAAAGGGGCAGAGGCTGTGGCACCCAGTGGAGGCCCGGAGCAGGCACTGCTGGAGCTGCGGGCGGTGGCCTAGGGCCCGGCTCTCCCTGCTCCTCGGCTGTGCTCCCCCGTGCTGCTATAACTTTGCCCCCTACCTGTACTCTTGGCTCCTGGCAGCCTGGGTGAGCAGGGGGACATGGGCCTGAACACTCCCCGCTGGCTGAGATGGACTGCCGGCTGCCCTGCCGCCTCCTCTGCCTCCTCCTGCTCCGCCTCCTCTTCCTTTTCATCCCGCTGCCATCTCTCCCCAGGCACCTGGGTCTCTGCCCTCACCAGTGCTGACCAACTTACGCGGGGCTTGAGTATAACTTGCCAAAATCTTTATTCTTTCGATATTTGCAGATATGTGCCACTGTTTCCAACTTTTCATCAACAAAAAGGCCTTTCCAACTCCTTCCAAATTAGAAGACCAGGTGGTGACACAGCACCTCTGGACATTCTCCCCTGTGCGGGGCCGGAGGCGGGCCGGGCCCTGGGACTGCTCTCAGATGAGAAGCGGCCGCCGTGCTCCCCACTCCAGAGACCCACAGGAACCTTTGTAACTAACCCCCACCCCCAGGGAAGGCTAGGAAGCTGGAGCCCGAGGCTGGGGGCTGCCGGGGACCAGGCCCGGCTGGACGCTGCGCCAGGCTCGCTGCATGGACAAGAAGGGAGCTCGGCCCCACGCCTGCCCGGCAACGTGGCCCAGAGGGGCGGGGTGTCCAAGCGCCCACGGCCCAGCCGCTCCTGGGGGAGCTTTCCTGCCCCTCCCCTCCTCTGCTCCTTCCTGCATGGACTTCTGCGTTCCTGCTCTGCTCTGGACGCCAGCACCGCCGCGCGCTTGCCTTTCCCCCTCTTGGCCTCCCGTTTCCTAGGATCCGCATTGGGGCGGCTCTGCCCCAGGAGCCTGGCAGGGGCGCAGGGCCTCTTACGGCCTCTCTCCTCTCTCTCTCCATCCACTGTGCCCCTTGGGCCACGCCGATGAGCTCGGCGCAACATGCCGTGTGGTATCTGTGCCGCAGACGGGCCACTGCCCGCTCACTTCTGGACTTTGCTCTCCCCGATTGTCGTGCCCTGTGCTCCTGGCCATTCCTCAGTCCCACCGTCCACCTCTCCTCACCCCTTCCCTTCTCTTACCCCCCAGCCCCCGGGCTGTGCGCCTCTCACGCCCTTGGTATCTCGTGTCCTTGCTCTTTTGTAAGGGGCGGTCCCGGCTCAGTGACCTGTGCTGCTCTGTATGGTGCCCTGTGTAAGAATAAACCCGTTGGAATACTCGTGGTCTCAGTTCCTTCCCCGTCCCGCCGCCCCGGCCCTGCCCCTGCTAGGGCCTGTCCAGGCCGAGGGAGGGCGGGCGGGCGGGCTGGGGATTCCAGGTGGGCAGCTGTCCCCGCCGACCCTGGGCCCCTTTAACATTCCTCCTCTTTTCTCTTCCAGTCTCGGAAGGGTGCCGACCTGGACCGGGAGAAAAAGGCCGCCGAGTGCAAGGTGGACAGTATCGGGAGTGGCCGGGCCATCCCCATTAAACAGGTCAGCACCCCCTTTCCCTGAAGCCTGCGGAGCTGAGGCAAGGCCCAGGAAATGCTAGAGGATGGTTCTTCTCTAGGCCTCTGTGACGGGAGATGGTGTGAGAGGCGGGCACCCCCTCCTGTCAGGCCTGAGGTTCTACTAAGAAGGACTCACCTCTGGTGGGAAGGGTAGCCAGAGGGTCTGCGGTCTGTTACTGCAGATCTGAGCCTGTGGCTGGAGTAGCCTGCTCTCCAGGCTTTGCCTGTACCTCCTCACCACCGCCAGGGGGCAGCAGAGAGCCGCCTTCAGTTGCTCTCCTGCTGGTGGTTCTGGAGTTGGGTCACCTGGAGGGGGCGAGCTGCTGTCTGCCAGAGGGCTTGGCCTGGGCGCTCTGGCCCGGAAAAGGAAGAGGACTCACAAGAGTACCCTGAGCGTGCACCGAAGGGCGGACTGAGAGCTGTAGGTCCTCCAGGTTCCATGGCAAAGTCTTACCCATAGGAGCCTCTGTTCACTTGTAAGGAATAAACTTAGTTGAGGTGTCTCTCTCCAACTCCTTTCTGAGTCCGCCTGGCAGGGCTCCCCGACCTCCTGTGTGGGTCCCTGTGCTGGGAAAACTTGAGTGACGGGGGTGTCTTTGTGCAGAGATGGTGGTGTACTGGACAGGGCTCTAGAACTGCTGGCTGGACAAGGGTAGAGCCAGGAGGTGTCCCTCTGGGGCTTGGGCAGGAGCCTGTGCGCTGAGGTGCCCACGAGGATGGGGGCTGTGGCCTGGAGGTCAGTTTGCTGTACCCACAGGAGCTGGGCGAGGCAAAGACCTTCTTGGGAGCTGGTGGTTAGAGAGGTCGTGTCTACAGGGGCTGTGTTGTCAGGTTTTGACCACAGAGCAGCAGAGCTCAGCTTGGCCAGGGCCCTGTGGCCCCGTCTGGCCTCTAGGCTGGAGCTTCTGGGGTCCTTGGGCAGAGTGACAAGAATTCGTGTGAAGGTGCATTTAGAATGGAGAGCCCAGGGTGTGGGTCAGGGTCCCAGAGGACAGGATGGGGACACCACACGTCCTGTTTCTCCCCTGAGATGTCACTGCACTCCAGTTGGGTCTGCATGCGGGGAGGCCAGGTGAGAGGGCTGAGAGGAGAGGCAGCCGCCAGTCTCCTGTAGGTCCCCACAAACCCAGTGACACCTGCCACTGGGGCTCTGCAAACCCAGCGCCTCCTTGGGGGGCTCTTCTGGGCGCCGTGACTGTGATCCCAGGACTCTCCCCGCCTGGGACGTGTGCACACAGACCTTTAAGACATGGTTCGGACGGACGGGCCTGGGCCCTCGCCGTGAGGAATGGTAGCCCACGGCCTTCCTGTCTGGGGAGGAGGGCCAGGGATGCAGGGGCTGCGGGTGGGGGTGGAGCCCTGTGGCCAGCACCTGGGCCTCTGGGCTGGGCCAGGCAGTCAGCTCGGTCACTGGCTGTTACAGGCCCATAAACCTCGGCCCCCAGGACCGACACTGCGGGAAGGAGGCCAGCACAGGCCTGGGCCCGGGCCCCAGTGCCTGCTGGAGCAGCAGGCACCTCAGACAGCGATCTCCCAGGGCGTTTGGGGGAGCGCCTGCGGTTGGGGTGGAGGCTTCGCCCAGCCGGGGCCATTCCTCCCGCTCCCCGCCCCCTGCCCAGGGCCACCCTCCCGTCGCCCGCTCCTTCCCTCCCCCCTGCTCCTGCTGGGAGTGGAGATTGCATTTCAGTTGCCATTTGCATTCCCAATCAATCCGGACTCCGCAATTAAGCCGGCTGGCGGAGCTGGGAGGGAGGTGGCGGCGGAACGGGTCCTCTGGGGGCTGTCGCCTCGTCGCCGCTCCCATCCGCCCCAGATTGCTTCCTGCTCCGCCGTGCGCAGCCGGGGAGGGAGCGGAACCCCTGGAGCTCCTTCTCCCTCCTCGGAACGCGGCGCCCCGAGAACGGGCGCGGGTGGCGGGCGGGCCCTGCTGGCCCAGCTTCTCCGCGGGTCCTGCCCGCCCACAGGCACCGGCGCGGGCGGGCGTGGGCGCCACGTCGGCTGCGCTGGCTTCTCCGGGAGCCGGCGCTCCTCCCACGCCCCTCCAGGCTCAGGCTGAGGAGCCATCTCATTGCCGCCGTCGCCCTCTGGGGAGACCAGGTGAAGAGGCCAGGGGTAGGGGAGACAGGCCGAGGCAGTGACATAACTTGTTTGCTGTGAAGGGCTAGTTGGTGGCAGAAGAGGGAGAAGAGGCCGGTTCCCTTTTCCTTGACAGGAGCCGGGCTGGGCCCTAGAGCTCTGGTCGCCAGTGGTGGTCTGTGAGGCCCGAAAGGTGGGCCACCGCTGTCCTAGAGCGAGGGCAGGGCTCCGGTTCTAAGGATTAGAGAACAGAGGTCACTGTGGAGTCCCCCCCCACCCCCCAAGGGAGGCTGGGGTGCAGGGTAGTGAGATGAGTTGCTGGGGAGCCTCCCTGAGCGGGAGCAAGATGAGGGCGGGGGACTCAGTCAGGAGACGGGGCCAGGCACCCTCTCCTGGCCTGTGAGGGGATGGATGCCCCCCCCCCCCCCAAGCAGGTCAGCAAGGCTCTGTCACAGGCCAGACGTTCCTGCCACCCCTGGGTAGTGAGAAGGTCCGTTAACACGTGTCTGCAGCAGCGCCTTGTACCACACTGTCCGTGAGGCTGACTGGGACCAGGATGTGTCCTCTGCCTCCAGTCGCAGGTGGGGGCAGCAGGAGGAGGAGGAGGGAGGGGGAGCAAGGATGTGAAATGTCTACTGAGAAGTGGGAGACTGGAGTGGAGGGCCCTTACCTCCACCCCGTCCCTGCTCGGGGAGCGATCAAGCAGGAAATCCCAAACCACCTGTTTGCTGATCTCCTTGCTCCGAACCTAGTGTTGTATCCCCTGGGTTCCCCCCACCTCGGGCCTCAGGGCCACAGCCGATGCTGGAGAGACCCCCTGCTTTCTCACACCTGAGTCCCTCTTTTCTAAAAGAAATTTCAGTCCTGGCCAGTTTGGCTCAGTGGTTTGAGCATTGGCCTGCGGACTGAAGGGTCCCGGGTTTGACTCCGATCAAGGGCACATGTCTGGGTCGCAGGCTCTATCCCCACTAGGAGGTGTGCTGCAGGCAGCCGATCCATGATTCTCTTTCATCAGTGATGTTTCTCTCTCTCTCCCTCTCCCTTCCTCTCTGAAATCAATAAAAATATATATTTTTTAAAAATTTCAATTACAGCTGAAATTCAATATTATGTAATTTCCAGGTGTATAGCACAGCGGTTAGACGCATACCCTGCGAAGATGATATTTCTAGTATCTACCGGACACACGCAGTTATTACAGGATTGTGGCCTGTATTCCCTGTGTTGTACTTTCCGTCCCTGTGGCTATTTGTATATATCCCTTCACTTTTCCCCTCCCCTAACCCCCTCTCCCCTGGTGACCATTAATTTGTTGTCTGTATCTATGGTTTCCTGTTAGTTTGTTTATTTTCTTGTTAGATTCCACATGCAAGTGAAATCGTCACACCTGAACCTCTTAATCCCGCCTTTTCTCTCTAGAGCAGCGGTTCTCAGCCTTGGCTGCACATTAGAACCACCTGGGAATCTTTTTAAAATCCTGATGTCTGGGCCTCATCCTCCGGAAATTCTGTTTCTTTGTTACTAATGTTGTGGCCTCACCCCATAACAAATATAACAAAGAAACAGAATGTCCGGAGGATGAGGCCCAGACATCAGGATTTTAAAAAGAGTCCCAGGTGATTCTAATGTGCAGCCAAGGTTGAGAACCACTGTCTGTCTCTCTGCCCCTCCCCCCTTTGACCCCCGTTGAGATGGACTCCGGGTGCGTCCCTGGTCTCCCAGCCATTGCCGATCGCATTTGTGGCCCCTGGTTTGTGGCTCTGGGTGGCTGAACCCTGTCGTTTTGTCCAGGCACCGGCAGAGACCGTGGCCTCTGCTCAGCTCTCCTGAGGTTGGGAGGAGGTGGCCCCGGGGGCCATGCGGTCCTGGAATCTGCCACTGTAGACATTCCTAGCTGTCCTTGGCCTGTCCCCACCCCAGCTCCTGTCTTCACTCACAGGTTGTCATTTCAGAGGGAGAGCCAGAGGCGGGGAGGGCGTTCCCAGGGCTTGTCATTAGAGGAAGGCAGCAAAGGCTGCCCCCGAGTATGGTCTCGTTTTTCTTCCCACTTTCCGCCAGTCCTGTCTGGTTTCTCCCTGACCCGTCCACCAGATGTTTCCTGGGTGTCTGCTGTGTCCTAGGCATTGTCCCAATCTGAGTGTATCAGTGAACAAAACACACAGCAGTCCTTGCTCTCATGAGCTCTGTCCAACCTCATGCTCATGTGACCTCCATGCTCCGAGTGTCTTACCTGCTTACACGGGAAATCGGGTTGCTGGGCTCCATGCGGGGGTCCTTGCTGCCTACCTGGGGGGAGTTGGGCATTCTGGGGATGGTTAGGGGATTTTCTGTCCTAATCTGGGGCCACCACAGGGTAGAAGGCCAAGGCCTATCTGAGGTCTCTGTGCCCTTGGAGGGCCCAGGCAGGGGGAAGGGAAGGAGGACACCCCCTGGCGCGGTGGCCCTGGGGGCTGGCGCCGTCCCTGATCCAGCCTCTGTCCTCAGGGCATCCTGCTGAAGCGCAGCGGCAAGTCCCTGAACAAGGAGTGGAAGAAGAAGTACGTGACGCTCTGTGACAACGGGCTGCTCACCTACCACCCCAGCCTGCACGTGAGTCCGGGGCGGGCAGAGGGGTGGTGCTGACTCTGGGACCTGAGTGAGTTCGAGTGGGTTCTTGCTTGAGTTGAAGGACTTCACTTTGGTGGCTTGGGAACTGCACAGACCCCAAGACCCAGGCCCAGGCCAAATGCTTACACTGAAGCTCTGAGTGGTGGCTGAGCCTGTTGGAGAAAACTCCTCTGGGATGGTCAGCCAGGCCAGGCTGGTGTGGGCAGTCAGGTTTTATAGCTGATATTCTAGTTGTTGGAAGAGCTGATTTGGCCTATTTACACAGAATTGCTAAAGTTGGGGGTGCCCATGTTGCCAGCCAGGTGTCTTTAGGGAGCCACACCAGGGGGGCGCCCGGGCCTGGGATGCTGGGGCTAGAGGGCAGTGAAACCAGGGCTACGGAGAATGGCGTTGGGACTTGGACAGGTCCCGGGAGGAGGAGAGTGGGATCTGGAGGGCGTGTGGCCTGTGGCCGGGGCTTGCAATGATTGTAGATCGTGGCTCCCCCACCCTTCCTTCTTCCCCCTCCCCTCACTGCGTGGCACCAGCACACAGCTGTCACCAGAATCCATCTCTGTCACCTCCCCACTGTGGGGCTAATGAGTTCTCCTGTGCAGCCCCTCAAGCACAGCACGTGGGCCAGCCCCATCCCCGGCCCGGAGGCCCAGGGCCTGCCTCAGAGGGTCCCTCGCCTGCCTTTGATTCTGCACAAGGCATCGGGGAGGCCCAGCCCAGAGGTGCTGGTGGTGACCGGGTCCTGGGAGCACCACCCAGACAGCGCTGCTGAGAGCACGTGGAAGAGGCCTGGCTCGGGGGAACCAGCAGGCAGTCCCTTCCCAGGGCGGCCAGAGCCCAGGGTGGCCCCTGTTTGATCTCCTCTTGTCCCAGGGGACAGCACTAGTTGGACTGTGCGCTCCTGGTCTCCCTGATTCCACAGGTTGGGAGCTGGTGCTGGGATACCTGGCGATTGGAGGAGGGGCCACACTCGGGTGACCTTGGGTGTTTAGTACGAAGGCTCCCCAGCGCTGCCTCTCTCCCACTCTGGCCTCCTGCTCACACTCAGCCCCGGTCCCGCTGCTGAGTTGGTGACACCGTGAGAGGCAGCAGGGCTACGAGGAAAGGCACTGACCCCGAGGCACAGGGCTCTCAGAAAGTCCAGCGGCAGCTTCGGGCGCAGAGTCTCTAACTAAGAGGAACCCAGGGGCTGCCGTGCCCGTGCCCAGGCCTGCGCCGAGCCCACAGCGGCGCCTCTTAGCTTCCTCTACCCAAGGCAGCTTTGCTCTTACCTGTTCCTTCTGCTTTGTGCTGCCTTAGCCGGGTGCTGTGCTCTGTCCCCTGGGCTTGTCCCCAGGCCTCAGAATGTGGAGGAAGAAACCCAGCGTGAGGGGAGGGAGGAGGGAGGGGTCTTGAAGCACAGAGGAGAGGTTGGGAGCGGTGCTGTGTTTGGCTTGGGTTTGGGTTTGGGTTTGGGGGGGGGGGGGGCGGGTGAAGGCCCAAGGGAGTGCTGCTTTTATGCCAAGGCTCAGCGGGCTTTGTTGGATCATCAAAGTCACCCAGCCAGTGGCTGAGCTAAGACGTGGACATGTGACTTGGACTCTACGCACTCCCCAGGTTCTTTTGCACGTGCCAAGAGCACCTCCCTCAGGGCCAGCGGAGAAAGTCCCGGAAAGTGAGCGTCAGGGTACGCGTGGCCCAGACGTACTGTCACACAAGGAGGCTGGCCAGGCTGTGCCCGCCCCTCGGAGCCCTATCCAGCGCCATGCTCGCTGCACTGTGTGTGGCTTAGGGCGTCAGGGCCTGGGGCAGGGTCGCCGGAGCTCCCAGGCTTGTCCTCGCTTTTTGCCACGTGAGCCTAAGAGGCAGGTGGCTCTGCTGGCCCAGCACCCGGGCCTCAGCCAGGGCCGCTCTGCTCTCCCGGCCGCAGGACTCCGTAGAATGGACAGCTCTTGGAGAGCCTGGGCTTTGGCTCTGGGGTCAGAGTGCATGTCCTTCCCCCACACGGGATGCCAGGAGGAACTGGCACGTGCAGATGGTGGCAGCATGCCCCGCAGGTGCTGCTTGTCTCATTCAGAGGAACGAATCAGATCCAGAACACAGTAATGGTGGAAGGCCGGTGCGGTTCCATGAATGGGGCCTGAGTTTGCTGCTAGCAGAGGCTGCTTGGGCCGCCCCTCCTCTTCTTGACCTCCTTCCTTGATTGTCACTAGATTCGTGTTGCTGGTTTACCTGCCTCCATCTCCCCTTTTCCATCTTTTCCAACCTGAGCAAGCTTCCTAGCTGCCAGCAGTGAGCAGGCACCCTGCCTCCCTGTGAGCTGCCCTGCGAGAGCTCCGTGCAGGGGAAGGGCCCTTGGGAACTCCAGCCCTGCTCACCAGTACCCTCGGCCTAGCCGGCTGCCCTCCAGGGCGGCTCTTACCTGAAACCCCAGGGCAGCCGTGCTGGGACACTCACCTGCCCACGGAGGCCAGTGGCCGGATGGGCGTGCAGAGGAAGGGCTGGTGGGCAAGCCTCGGACCTCGCGCCCGATCCTCGCCTGGCCCAAGAGAGCCGCCACAGCCTCCCCCATTTTGTATCCAGCGGAGCCATTCACACAATCACCTTCTGTTAATTCTATCTGCAACATCAATTAAATTGTTTGTAGAAACTAATTGAATGTGGCTTAATCACACATCTTAATAGCTTTCCACGCTCTGAACTCGTTGTTAATTCCAGTAATAAAACGAGATGAGAACGCTGGCTGGGTAATTAGTGAGGAGGCTGGGGAAGAAATTGCTGTTTGATGGTGGGTAATAAAGGCAGCCGTGGTGACCGCTCTCCTGAGCAGCCGCTGCCGCCGCCACCACAGCGCTCCCCGTTCTGCTGACGGAGGGAAACGCTGCTGCTCGCCCTGACGCTCCGTCCCCGCTGCTGCTCTTGCCACTCTCCTCGGGCTGGGCTGCCTCTCCCGGGGGTGCGGCCCTGGAAGCTAGCCTGGCACCGGGCACAGAGCGGAGCCTCGTCTGCGGGGTCAGAGATGCCGACCGGGTTAGCCCTTTCCCCTCCTGTCAGGGTCTGGCTCCTTGGCCTCGAACAGGTCCCTCCGTGCAGCTCTTGTTGGCGCAGGGTCAGCTTCTCCTGCCCCAGCCCGGCCTCCCAGGGCTGTCATGGGGCCTGAAAACTGTTGCAGCGGCTGTGGCCTGCTTGTGAACTAGAGCAGCCCAGCCCCTCCCCAAGCGAGGACTGCAGCTGTGCTCCGGCCCCGCCCGCTGTTGACAGTTGTCTGGAGCAGCCTATCCACGATGTGGTTGAATGCAGGGACCCAGGATGAGCATGTGCAGGGACTCGGGATCGGTATATGCAGAAGCCAAGTCCGTGGGATGCTGGGGCTTGGCGTAGGGAGGGCCGAGGCAGTGAAGTCACACGTGGATGCTGGGCTGAAGCGGGACAAGTGGGCCGTGGTGGCTGCGTTGGCTGGAGAAGGGACAGAGAGAGCGGGCAGAGGGGCGCCTGGGTTTGTTTCCTTCCCAGCCACTGAGGCTCAGTGCTCGGGACAGAGTCGGGGGCCCGCGTGTCAAAGGCTGTTCCCGTGGGCGGAGACTGCTCACTGATGTCGCAGTGACATCGGTCAGTGGTTCTGAGAGCAGCATGTGCCTGAGACCGGGCACTTGGCCCCATCCCTCGGACAGGACGAGGTGGTGGCGGGAGGCCCTGGGCACAGCCCAGTGCTGCAGGGAGGGAGCCCCTCCTTGGACACACACTCTGGAAGCTGCGCCTCCCCTGGCTGGCCACGCTCCTCGGTCCTTCCGAAAGGCCCTCTGCCTCTGAGGGTTCTCAGAGCCGCTTGGAAAATAAAAGGTGACCACAGGCCTGGCCAGACCTCCCCATGGTCTTCCCATCCTGCAGTGCCGTCCAGCCTGATGACAGGTGTGCGGGGGAGGCTGGGCTGGTGCTGTTTCCTTGTTCTCGCTCCTCTTCCTAACTGGTCCCTTCCACATTCTCTTGGCTGCTTGGGGCCAGGTGACCCCTTTCCACTGATGTCCTCTCGGTCATTCCCAGAATGATGGCAGCCCTGCTTCCCAGAGGCAACACTTCTATCTGCTTTTTTAAGCAGAGGGGACTGTCGCTCTTCCCGGGAGCTAAAAAGTGAGACGGTAGGAGAGAATGCCAGGGTACCAAGAAGTCTGATGCCCCAACGTGGGTACAGATAGGGCTGGGCCTGTGAAGGCTGCGTCTGAGATGGCGCTGTGCTGCTCAGGGACGCTCTCTGGATGCAAAATGTCCCAGAGGTGCTCCTGAGGGAAGAGGAGTTGATTCCAAGTCTAATCAGTGGGATTCTGTGCACCTGGCTTCTGCTCTCAGGGACACCCCGGGGAGGGGTGTCGGGGGAGACAGGAGTCTGCCGTCTGGAAGGAGAGACCAGAGCAGTGGGGAAAGCTGGGCCCCGCTGAGACCCAGGGCAGCACTGTGCTCTGCAGCCCCTGTGGCCACTCCCCCGTGGGGCGTCCTGGCCGAGGGGGCGGTGGCGGTGATGGTGGGGTCAAAGCACCAAGCAGCTCCCACTCGGGGTCCCTCTGACTGGAAGGAAGCGTGGAAGGAAGTCACCGTCAGTGCACAGCCTTGGGAAGCAGAACAGCCTGGACTTGATCTGGCTTCACTGCCTTCTGCTGTGCGACGTTGGGGCAGATTAACCTTTGTGAGCCTCAGTTTCTTCATCTGTAGAGTGGGTGGTGTGAAGATTACATGCGGTAACGTGTGTAATATAGATACACATCTACAGTACAGTGACTACCCGCCCCTGAATGGGAAGAGGATGTGGTGATGATAATGGTGTTATTATTAATTCCTGAGAACAGCAAAAAGAAGGAAAGGGTTCCCTTTAACTGTTCAACAAATATTTATTGTCAGGTGCTGTTCTGAGGACTGGGGACTGTGCTAGGCTGTAAAGGTTCTCCGTGCCTCACGTGGTGAGGGAGCTTCTGAAAGCAGGACTGAGTGCTTGCTGACCAGTCCCCAGAGCCTGGGAACCCAGTTGTCTGCATCCGTGGAGCCTGTCAGTTCCTCTTGACCACACGGGCCCTCTCCCTAATCCCATCTTGGTCCAGTACTTGGCCCCCTTAGCATCTTCCGTATAGGAGGCCTGAGCCTCAGCTCCTGGCTCCAGACCTTCTCTCCGCTGACTCTGCCCCCCTCCTGGCTGAGTCCCCCGCACAGCGTGTGGTCAGCCTGTAGGTGTAGGTGTCATCCAGATTTGGGGGCATTCTGTGGGATTCACAGTCCTGCTCTTTAAACCTGAGCTTTCCCTCCCTCCGCCACCCCAGGGGGTCAGTGCCAGAGAGAGAGCTGCCGGAGAATGGCCTGTCCTAATGAACCGTCTGTCTTACCCCGCGGCCCTAGGATTACATGCAGAACATCCACGGCAAGGAGATCGACCTGCTGCGGACAACAGTGAAAGTGCCAGGGAAGCGCCTGCCCCGAGCCACGCCGGCCACAGCCCCCGGCACCAGCCCCCGGGCCAACGGGCTGGCCCTGGATCGGAGTAGCACGCAGCTGGGTGGGGGCACAGGTGAGGTGGCTGCTGGGGTGGGGGCGTGTGGAGCGCATTGCTTCCTTTCCGGGAAGAGTGGGGAGTGCTGCGACGGTGCCTGGGGAAGGCGTTTAGGGGCTTTGCCTTCAGTGGAGGCCTGTGAGCTCCAGACATGCTTGCCACCAGCACTGGAGCAGCTTGGCCAAAGGCATTGCCAAATCCCTGTGGAGTTAGAGATCGCAGCCGATGGACAGTCCTGCAGATGATATCGAGGTCAGAATGGGGCCAGAAGCCGCTGTCTTTCAAGGCAGGTGATGGTGCGGCAGGACCTTGGGCACGTACAGCCGGCATCTCAGCCCAGCCTGCCATGTGGGGGGGGGGGGGTGCTGGGAGGGGACAGAGCTGCTGCTGGGGCCCACCTGGCAGATGTCGTCCTCAGTCTTCAGTGAGAGGGGGGGTCTTTGCTCAGAACGGACTGAGTGTAGAGACAAGCTGGAGGCCCAGCAGACTCTGCCGTGTGGCCAACGGTCTGGAAAGAAGAGATAGAGCCTGAGAGGGCCTGAGCTTGAGGGAGGCGGCTCTTCCGGTGAAGGTCTGTGCTCCTCCCCAGGCCTCTTCCGCTCTAAGCCACATTGCTCTGTGGGGGGCGCTCCCTCCCATGCCCAGTCCCCTCGCCCCAGGTCTCCTTGGCTTCTGGACCCTTCCTCTCACGACCTAAGTCTTGGTGTTGTTCTAGATAATTGGATCTCGTTTTCCCCTGGCCCGGAAACAGCTGCTCAGACGCTGTCCTGCCCTCCTAGGTGCTCGTCACATTCAGTGGACAGGGGGCTGGGGTACTTAGTCCCTAGAATGGATGGGACAGACCCCAAAAACTGCCCCATTCAAAACGCTGATAGGGCCGCTCACCGAGAAAGTCGGGACTAGGGAAGGTAGGCGGGACGACGGCCTCCTGAGTGGGCACCTGCCCTGGGCTTGTGCCCGGCCTGGAGGCACTGGGAGAGGCCAGGGGACACTGACATCCGCCAAGTGAGGTGAGCCAGGTGCAGGCCCCGTTTCCAACTCTGCAGCTGAGATCATCATCCCCATTTTATGGATGAGGAAAGAAGGGCTCAGAGAGGTTAAGTAACTTGTCTGTAAAATCCCACAGTAAGCAATAGAGCTGGGGTCTGAATCTGTGTTCCTGAGTTGAAAAGCTGTGTTTGTCTTCCATCCTGAGCTGAGAAAGAAGCCCCTGAGTTGTGCAGAGGGAGCCCCAGTGGACGGGGAAGGAAGGAAGCTAAGGCAAGAAAGACAGCCGCCATCAGGTCGGGTGCCTCCTGTGAGGCTGCACCAGGGGAGGATCCCGCTCGATGGCAAAGATGGGAGGCCACGCGCAGCCCCCAGTGCTGTGCCCAGAGAGAGTCAGGGCTGCTGGGAAAGCCCTGGCCTGTAGGGGAGGGGGCTGGAGGTCAGCCAGGGCCCCAAGAGCTTTCCCAGAGCTGCTTGGGGAGAGTGAGTGTCAGTTTCTGGCCTGGCTCAGGGTTTCCCACCTCATACTGGAGGAGCAGGAAGTGTAAGTGCCCCCAAAGGGAACCTTTCCTTGAAGCAGGTAGCAAGAGAAGCTGGGCTGTTACCCCAAAGGAGGGGAAACAATAAGACCCTCTGCCCAGTCACATTCCTGGGCCCTGATAGCTTCACCTGGGGAGCAGAAGTGGCGCCTGGAGAAGGGAGACGCATGCATCACACTCACCCGCATCATTACCAGCGCCCACAGACCCTCGCTGACACTCCCAGAACATATGGACCAGCATTTATCCAAGCCTGCGTCCCCTCGCTGCACGCTGACACCGACCTCATGCACACTCACACATGTCTCCCACTCACCGGCGATGTTAACATCTCATTATCTTTGTTACTGTAATTACATTATCCGCTGCTTTATGCAGAATTATCCTCCGAGGACTAATTGATGGCTCCATGTTTAATTCATTAATCATTAGCATCAAATTCGACAATTACAGTGCACACTGATTGTGGGATTGCAGGCGTAATGAGGGGAGAATTAACAAAGAAAAGGGAGAGTACTTTTCTTCCCTGGGGTTTTGGGTTGGGGGCTTGGGGAGGAAGGTGGGCCTGTGATCTTTGGGTTGGAGACTGGGGAGGCAGAAATAAGATTTGGAACCCAAGAGGGGATGGGAGCAGGAGAGGGGAGAGCAAGGTGTCTGAGAAGTTAGGAACTGAGCTGTTCCCTGGGAAGGTTTCCTGACCATGAAAAAGGCTGTTTGCAGAGACCTGAAGCCAGAGCAGGAAGGGACAGGATTCTGAAGAGGAAGGTCAGTCAGCATGTTGCCTCAAGGGGACAGGAAACAGGGTAGACTGGCTGCAGTCTCAGCCCACACGTCTAAGCACCTATTGTGTGCCTGGTCCTGCCTTGGAATACAATAGAAACACAAAACTTGACGACCTTTCAGTGTCATACTGTCCCCAGAGGATTAGGGAGGTCTGGCCTGTTCCATTTCCTTCTGGCTTCAGCTCAGAGCTTCCCACCCCTAGGCTTCCAAAAACTCAACCCGTGTGCTCGCGGGACTGGTTTGAGGCCTTGTGTTCGCTGCTTGCTCTCTCCAGCTTTTCCCAGCTTGCAGGCCCATCTCTGCTTCCTTACTAACCTCCAGCACCTACCCAGCCTTGTCCTTGCTGCTTTGGGGCAAACACCTTGGGTGTGGCCTATTCATCTTGAGACCTCCCACGGCCATTGCCTTCTGGGCTGTGCCCCAACCTGTCTTCCGTGGACTGAGGTGAGAGGGCAGTGTAGGCCCTTTGAGTGTTACGCGCTCCACCAGTGACTCAGTGCCTAGGGAGAAGGCAGGGAATTCTGAGGTCACTCATGGCTCTCCCTGCCCAGCCTTGGCACTCCTGGAGCCTTCGGCTCCCCTCGGCTCTGCTGTTCTTCCCTGATGGGAAACGAAAGATTAATTTTCTCCAGCCCAACAGGATAATTACTAATACTAATTAGACATAATTACTTGAATTTGATACACTTATTTCTCATCAGAATGGCAGCAAAGCTGAGGCAAAGCAAATAGCATATGTGGACTAGAATGTAGGGTGCAGGTCCCTGACCAGGAGAGAGGAGGCTGGGGATAATGGCTGGATGAGGGGCTTTGCAGTGATGGGGGTGTCGATACCACTCCCCCCCCCCCCACTTTTGGGTCCCAGGGAGGGGACAGATGTGTATACCTTCTTGTGTATGGAGAGAGGAAGGGCATGAGGTCTGAGACTGGCTGCTTCCTAAGGCACGGAGAGCCTGTGTGATGCCCCTGGTTCTCCAATAAGCCTGGCCCTGTACCTGGGCCCAAGACCCCTTAATTTCTGGTCAGCTTCCTGTTGGAATTTCTCAAGCTGTGCCTACAGTCCTGTTTCCAGGAAAGCCTATGTGCACCCCTCCCCTGACTTCTCCTCCTAGTCTTACCCTTCCCCTCTCCAGGCGCCCCCCACTCGGCCAGCAGTCCTGCCTGGGCTGGCCTGCGTCCCGAGGGGCTGCACCAGCGCTCCTGCTCCGTTTCCAGTGCCGACCAGTGGAGTGAGGCTGCTGCCCTGCCCCCAGGTATGCAGGACCCCATGAAGGGACAGAGGAAGGCAGCATGGGCCTGGGTGGCTGATTGGATGGTGCCCAGGCAAGGGGAGGGGCCCTGTGGAGCCCTTGGGGCTGTCACAGGGGCTCTTACCCTTCTCTGGCCTCCTCATGAGCTTCCTGCCCCCAGGTAGAGCCCTGCCTCTGCAGCTTCTCTGGCAGCCCAGCCACTGTCCCCAGGCAGCACTGGTGGCAGCTCTGCATCCCCATCAGCCCCCTGCGCAGCCAGCTCATCAGCCTCACTGCAGGGGGACAGGGAAGCAGGGCTGAGTAGGGGAGTCCAAGGCAGGAGAGGGGGTCCCTGCAGACAGGATCCAGGGAGTTGTCCAGAAAGGTAGTGTCCGCACCCCTGCTGTCTCCCCAGATAGGTTGAGGCCCCACCCTGCCTAAAACCACCACCTTCTCCTGTCCCACCCTCCTCTTTCCTTGGCTCTTCATTTTATTCCTCTGTCCATTTTTGGATATTGCATTTCAACTTTTCCTCCCCTGCACACACATTCTCTCTCTCTCTCTGCCCTTCTCTCTCCTTACTCCTAACCCTTTGGACACAGATCCTTGGAGCAGTTCTCATGGCTAAAAGGAAAATGGGTGCAGCTCTGCCCTCCTTTACTGAGGGTGTAGAAGGGAGGAGACCCCAGGGTCCAGGTTTGCCTCTCCACTGCCCCTCCTCCCCACACACTGGGCAGTAGTGCCCCTGCACATTAACTACCCAGGAAAGTGCCGCTCCCAGTCTGAGCTCTGACCCAGGCACTGGGTATTCACAGCACAAGGAATCAAGTCCAACCTCCCTGGGGGAGTGAGTGTGCAGGGTCTGAGAAGGGGAGCTAGGGCCCTTCCTGGGCCCTCTTCCCCAAGGGTGGGGTCCCTCTGTTGAGTCTGGAAGGCAGGGAGGGAGGGAGGGAGGGAGCATGTCTACCTCTAATGAAGTTTGACATTTAGTGGTGAGCGCTGGGCGGGGTATGGGAGATGGGAGCTTGATTAGCGCGCTCTAATTGACAGTAATTAGGCAGCTCCCTGATTGTTTCTAATTCTGCTATTAATTGTCAGGAGCAGGGAGTGTGATTGAGGATAAATTTGGTGCGGAGCTGCTGGGGCTTCAGCTCCCTATGAGTTCCCTAGGCCGCCTTCCACCCCTCCAGGCTGCAGAAGCCAACATTTCTGCCTCGCCTTTATTCTGTTCTGCCTGACTTTCCTACACTCTCCTCTCCCTACCTTCTCCTCCACCGAGGCTGGCAGGCTGCTCTCCCAGGGTGGCCCAGCTGCACTTCAGGGTGGCTCTCTTAGGTGCACTAGACAGGACTTATGCTCATCCCCCACCCTCCCCTCTGCCCACACTTCTCCAATTCTCCCCTCCCCAGCCAGTGGCCCAGCTGAGGTGCTCGGTTCCAGCCCCAAGCTGGAGCCTCCCCCATCTCCCCACTCCAACCGGAAGAAGCACCGGAGGAAAAAGAGCACCGGGACCCCCCGACCAGACGGCCCCAGCAGTGCTGCCGAAGGTTAGGGGGACCCAGAGGGATACCGGGGCACAAGAGGGGGGCAGTGGGACTTGGGGATAGTACCCTAAAAGTATTAGGTGAAGCACTTTTAATAATCCTCGGTAAAGGTAGTTCCACACCTTTTGGCAATCTAGACCTGGTGTCTTAGCTCTTTTCTTCTGCCTAACTTAACCCTTTCTGTGAAAATGTGAGCTTGCTTCTCTTATTCTTGTAGAAGGTAAAAGATCACAGGCGGCTACCCCAATAGCTCTTCCAAGACTTGTGGAAAAGCAGGACCTGTTTTCTGTGTCTCTTGTATCACCCATTGAGTTTAATGAGTGCTGGGCACATAATAGGTGCTTAATACATGTGTACCGATGGCTGAGCCTCTCCTCAGTCAGCTGTAGGCTAAAGGAGTCCAGCTCCTTGTTTTTCCATAGGCCCTCTCACAGAGTCCTTTATCCGCCATCGCGCCACTTCTCTGATTTTCCCTAAAGTATCTTCAAAACATCCCTCTGACCAGTGGTTGGAGTCTCCCTCTGACATTGACACCTAGTTTGTCATTTCTGTTCTGATTGTCAGGGTAGGGGTGTGGGTATGTGGGTGGAGACCACCTCCGTGGGAAAGAGCTACCTTTCCCAGCCACCCTGCGATATAGTGATTCTTAGTGTTCGTGGCACACGGTCCACCTGTCCCAGGGAACTGAGCCCCAATTGATGGCGGTGATGTAATTCAGAGGCTGTGTTAAGAGCAAGGTGAGGTGGAATTGTGAACGTAGGGAGAGAAAAGGCGCCAGTTTTCTTTTTCTAGGAAGGCAGTTCTGTTAAGGGTGCCCTTAGAGCAGGAGTCCAGCAGGATGACTTCCAGAGGATGTTAGTGTCCTTGAGGTGAGAGGCTGCCCTGGATGGAACACGTGGCTCAGGCCTTTGCCAGGGGCTCAGCCTTGGGCCTCCAACAGGTACCTGAGCTGTCTCTCCAGCTCCCACAATACATTCACACTGCTTGTTAGGAACTGTTCACGCATGGGGCAGTGACCATTGGGAATGAGATTCATGTGGCTGTCTTCTGGGGGAGAACTTGGAACAGCTGGACCACATTGCTTGGGGTCACAGTCCAGCCTACAGCACTGTCACTGCAGATGTCCTTCGGTCCCTATCTGCTCACACATCCTAGTTTGTGGAGAAAACCTCTCCTCTCCCCATCCACTTGCCCTTCCTGCCTGTCTATGGGAGGGCAGTGGGGGAGGGGCACAGTTCCCAGGAGCCCCATGCTGACGCCGTCAGGAATATTGGGTTTAATGAGCTGCAAAATGAGGTGGCTGCAGCTGACATGTACGGATGCCCACACCAGCCTCCCCCACCCTCTCCCAGCATTGCCTCCTAGCACCCCACCTCATCCTTCTCCAGATACTCAGCTCTTCTTGTTCCAGGAAGCACCCTGATTTCCAGACCCACTGCTGGCAGTGCCAGTGATGCCGAAACCTTGCACCCCCATCTGTTCTCACTCAGGCTCTCCAGGTGGTTAGGAATGGAGGGTTGAGGCTCCACACTGCTCTTGCAAGTATCCTCCCTCCCACCTTGCAAGTTGCCCTGGAGAGCGTGCTCCTGGAGGCTGGGTGCCAGGAAAGCAGGGTGGTGAGTGGGCTTGTGGCAGTGGCCTGGTGTGCCTGCCAAGGCACCTACCATGATGGTGGTAAATGTTCCATCCCCCACAGACGTGGAGGAGTCCTTTGAATTTGTGGTGGTGTCCCTCACCGGGCAGACGTGGCACTTCGAGGCCTCGACGGCAGAGGAGCGGGAGCTGTGGGTACAGAGCGTGCAGGCCCAGATCCTCGCCAGCCTGCAGGGCTGCCGCAGCGCCAAGGACAAGGTTGGCATGGAAGCCCGAGTGGGGTGGGACCCAAAGGTGGCCTCATGATTGACCAGCCACCCCTTGTCTCCCACTGTGGCAGACTCGACTGGGGAACCAGAATACAGCTCTGGCTGTGCAGGCCGTCCGTACTGTTCGTGGCAACAGCTTCTGTATCGACTGCGACGCCCCCAGTGAGTGGCAGGGCCAGGGTTAGCAGGGCTGGGCTTGGGGGCGGCTTAGAGAAAGCTCCATGGGCTCCACAGAGAAAACGACAAGAGGCTTTCAGTAGGCCAGGAGGAGGGCAGGGAGGACGAGGACTCCGGGTTGTCTTACTGGTTGCACTAGGGCTTCACTGTGCTTCTTCTCCTTGCCTAGATCCAGACTGGGCCAGCCTGAACCTGGGCGCCCTGATGTGTATCGAGTGCTCAGGGACCCACCGACATCTTGGGGCTCACTTGTCTCGGGTCCGTTCCCTTGACCTCGATGACTGGCCACCTGAGCTGCTGGCTGTCATGACTGCCATGGGCAATGCCCTGGCCAATAGCGTCTGGGAGGGGGCTCTGGATGGCTATGCAAAGCCAGGGCCTGACGCCTGCAGGTAAATGGATGGGACCCTGAAACTGGCCAAGAAGGGAGGGGACGTCAGTGTTCCTGTATGGGGAAGATGGAAGATGGTGCCAAGAGTCTGTGACAGTGCTAGAAGGGTTAAAACTGGCCGTTGCTGTGCTTGGCAGTTGGCCCCTTGGGGTTCCCCTCCTCCTCCCTCCCTGTCACTCAGGCGCCTCACAACAAGAGGCCCTTTCTGAGTTGTTATCAGCTGGTCAGGGGGCCAGCAGGAGGTGCATGCGCAGGGCCCTATCTGCACTGTGGTGCAAAGGCCCAGCCTGAGCTCTGAGATGGGGAGAATGGGTAGTAGATAGGATAGTGGTGGGCCCCCAGCACAGTCTCCTATCCCCTTTATTCTAGCAGGACCAGATAAGCTGCCACACGAGCCTGCCTGGAATCTTCCTGCCCTCCCGGCCCTCTACATCACTGCTGTCCCCAGGGGCCTCCCTTCAGCCTTCCTTCCTTTCTTCTTCCACACCCTTTGCATTGCCCACTGCCCCTCTGTAGGCCCTTGATCTCTTAGGCTTCTCTTTTCTCTACCCAGACACCTTCTCCCACTATTTTTCCCTTATTCTCCTTTTGGGTGTTTATGTGATTTCCTGACCACTCTCCCTGGCCCTGCCCTTCCTCACTCATGCCTTGATGGGCCCGTGTTTTCAGAGAGGAGAAGGAGCGCTGGATACGGGCCAAGTACGAACAGAAGCTCTTCCTGGCCCCACTGCCGAGCTCAGATGTGCCACTGGGGCAGCAGCTGCTCCGGGCCGTGGTGGAGGACGACCTGCGGTTGTTGGTGATGCTTCTGGCACATGGGTCCAAGGAGGAGGTGAACGAGACTTATGGCGATGGGGACGGGCGGACGGCTCTGCATCTCTCCAGTGCCATGGCCAATGTTGTTTTCACACAGCTGCTCATCTGGGTGAGTCCCCCTCCTTGCCTTCCGAGTCCCACCCTTGCAGGCTCCTCTGACATCCTTTATACCCCAGACCTTTGAAAGCCACCTCTCCTTTTCCTCCCCAAGAACCTATCTTCCCTGCCATGTCACACCAACTGAAAATATGCTTCCTTCTGCAGTATGGAGTGGACGTGAGGAGTCGGGATGCCCGGGGCTTGACTCCACTGGCCTATGCTCGCCGGGCTGGAAGCCAGGAGTGTGCAGACATTTTGATCCAGCATGGCTGCCCTGGGGAGGGCTGTGGCTTAACACCTACCCCCAACAGAGAGCCTGCCAATGGCACCAACACCTCTGCTGAGCTGCACCGAAGCCCTAGCCTCCTTTAAGGCCCAGGAAGAGGGCAGTGGTCAGAAGGACTCCATACCCTGGGTACCTCCTCCCAATAGGCACTGGGGAAAACAAAAATACAGAGACTGAGAAGTAGAGACATGCAGAAAGGAAGAAGGAGACAAACAAACAGCTAAATGGGGCGACAGATCAGAGGAGACGTCTGGGATTTGAGCTGCAGCAGAGAGGGTGTGGAGGTATTTAGCCTTCTTCCCTGTGGTGCCATTGAGAAGGGACAGGACCCTTTGGAGGTACCTGTAAGGAGAGGGGAGCAGGACCTCTCCCTCCTCCAGATTGCTACCCTCCAGTGCCAGCCCCCTGCGAACTTCATCTCAAAGTGGAGCCTGGATAAAGCACAGGTTGGGGGTGCTGGATGAAATACAAGGGGGTGATCTGTGAGTCCCATGTAAATTTGTACATTCAAATATTTATGTTTGTGTACATATTTGGTGTGAGTGTATGATGAGCCAATAAACCAGACTGTGTGGTCTTGTTTCCCCCTTTTGTATCTCTACCCTTCTCCAAATGCCCTCACTTCTCTTTGCCCCATCTTCTCATGCTTGCTCTCCGTACTCTCAGATTGTCTTTCCTGAGCCTTCCATGAACATCGCTTTCAGCCCTCTTTTGCCGCAGGTGTAGTTGAGTTTGTCAACAGCACTGGCAGTGAGTCTGGACGAGGTGATAAGGAGCTCTGGAAGCTTCCTGCTGCATTCTCTACTCACCCCCACCCCCCACCCCCCACTTTTCCCAGTTAGTCTTATTTTCATCTCTGAGGATGCCGCAGGAGGAGTGGCTTGGTGCTCACTAGGGCAGCACTTCTCTCCGCACGGATGCCTAGCCTTTGCTTTTAAGGAAAGGGGCGGTGATAGGTCACCGATGGCAGAAGAGTTACCTTGAGTCCCACCATCTTGCCAGGCTGGGCCAGAATTCAGAGCCTCTGCTTTTCCCTCTCTCCCTTAGTTATGTTAGAAAGAAGATCTAGGGGAAACCCTCCTGTACCTGTTCTTGAAGGGTAAGAACTTGCTAAGTTAGGGTCTGTAACTGTGTCCACTAACGCTGTTCCTTAATTTGCTCATAGAATTCCAACCCCAAGGCCTCATTCCTATCTCTAGCTTCCCCCACAGTACATACCCTTCCAGAACCATCACAGATTCTTTTCTGCCTCCTCCACTTTGCCGTGGGCCTTCTCAACCAATCTCATTTTGTAACAAGAGGATTGGTATCCCAAACTTCATAAATGCTGTGATTGGGAGGAGAAACCACAATTAATGCCATAAGAAATAACTAGAAATGTATCTTTTACTCTATGCCCTCATGTCTGGGATACTAAATGGTAGCAGATGCACTTAGCTGCTGTGTCCTCTGCATAGATAAAGATTAATGAGCTCACAGGTGATGAGGGTGAGCCAGCACCCGCCCGCCACCCCCCCCCCCCCCCCCCACACACACACACCTGCCTGCCAGTCACTAACAAATTCAAACTGCTAACATCTACCTAGTTAGAGAGGGCCTGGGCACACCCAAGCTAAACTAGGGCCAAGTACTTCATTTCCTGTCCTAATACAAATGTGAATGAGTCCTCTATTCTGAAATTTGCCAACTCTTCCAAAGAAGGAGGCAGAGATGATGAAGCTTGCCTGTTTAATGGGTAGAGAGTAAAGGACCACGTTAGGAACATGAAGTCTAAAGGTGCACAGCGGGCAGACCCCAGGCTGGGAAAGAACAGATGTGGAGGTAGTTTACATGAGAAGAGATGGTGTGTGTTAAGTTTCTAAGGAGGCTAGTGACGGTTCCATTTAGTTTCTCTGCATGTCCTTGTATTATAGATAGGCAAGACGGTAACCACTCCGCGGCAGTAAGATGGAACTAAACTCTGGTTGAGGATCGAGGAAACATAACTTTCCCAAGCCCTCTCAGTGCAGACAGACAGAGGCAGATAGATCCACATATACAAACTTTACACAAAATAAATAAGGAGTTGTGATCAGCTTGGCTGGTCATTACCCTGGATTCTTCCCCACCCCTGTCAGAAGTGATTCCAGGAACCTTTCAGGCCCTAGGCATTTTAGAACCCAACACCTCCCCAGGAGTCCACCTCAGTCCCAAAAGCTCCTGGGCAATGAGAACCCAAGCCCCTTCAATCCTGAAGCCCCAGTCCTGAGGGTCTCTGGAATAGGCTCAAGGACACGTGCCCATATCTCGGATTGCCAGGAGAGCATACCTAGAGCTAAGTGAGTTGCCAACTGAGCCGCCTGCTAGGGCAGAATCATAGTGGTAGCTCCCTGGTCCACAGAGCCATAACCCAGTCTCTAAGCAAGCCCAGGAAACGAATCCTTTGCCTTCTGAAGTCCTCAAGAGCCCCATTCAGGGCCGGGCTCCCTGTTCCATTTGTTGGTGCTGGCTCCGCACAGCGAACCTGTTGACATGCACGGGTATGGGCACAACAATCTTGGGGTTTCTTACGGGCTCTCCAGAACGGCTGCTGACATTGCCAGCTTTGATGCGCTTCCACTTGGCTCTCCGATTCTGAAACCAGATCTTGACCTGCACCTCACTGAGCTTGAGGGCATGGGCGATCTGGGAACGCTCTGTCAAGCTCAGGTATTTCTTGCAATGAAACTCCTTCTCCAATTCCAAAAGCTGCTCACTGGTAAATGCTGTGCGGCGCCTCCGGCTTTTGCCCCCAGGAGCCGTGACTCCTGATGCCACTGGGGCTGCCTCCTCAGCTCCAGTCCCCAGGCTTCCCTTTAGCTTCGGTTTAGGTGCCAGGAGAACCCCCGGGCCCCCTGCAGAACTGTCCAGGAAACCGTCGTCCTCACTGTCACCGCCCGAGCCCTCTTCCTCCTGTTCGCTGCCTGCTGGGTCTCTTGCTGGTGCCTCCAGCTTCTCCTCATCTGAGCTGTACACCTTCCCCTCTGTGGGGAGTGAAAACCAATGGACAGGGAGGGAGAAGGTAGGAAAAGAGACAGGTTGGAAGAGGCACACGAAACCATGACCAGGCATGGCCAGAACGACAGCAGGAAGAGATACAGATGTAGAGGGGATGAGATGGGGATGGAAGAAGTTCAGGGAAGACAAAGAAATAGGAAGAAAGGTATTAACCAGCACAGATTTCACTAAAGCAAAGTGGGGCAGGCAACAAGTGTCTATCAAAGGAACACCATTCCCAGGACTGTGTCCCCTCCACATTCCCACACCCTACCTCAGTTCTGCCTACTTCCCAGCTTTCTCTAAATCCAGACCACGCAGCCTCAGGCCCCAGAGTGAAGTAGTAGGGGACCTGGCTTAGGATCCTTCCAGTTGCTGTGGCAGGAATGAACAATATAGGAGAACTTACTTTTGCAGGACGGGGGCTATCAGCCTTTGTTATTCTAGGAATCCTAACCAGACCCAGTGGAAGAGCTATGTGTTGACTTCTCTTCTGTCTTCCCTCTTCCTTAAATCTAGAATCTCATTTCCAGATGGGAATTTCAGGGTCATGTGATTCCCCATCCTCACTCTATTCCCAAAATCTGGGTCATAGAAATGTAACACAAGGACCTGGGAATCAGGAATTTTCCTTACTGCACTCCTTCCCAATTCACCTTAATCAGACCATCCAGCCCACAATGGGGAACCCTCCCAGCCACATGGCTTATCAGTGACCAGACTTTTCTTCCAATTACTTAGTCTCCTAAGTCCCTTTCATTCCTTCTCCTTGTTTAAAAAATGATGTCATCGCTTTCCCACCTTCCCTCTTTCCCAGTTAAGATTGCTGAGCAGCACAAACAGCTGCTTTCTGCTTAAGTTCAGAATCCTGAGGACCCTGAGCTTGATGTCAGCTGGGAACATGGAAGGAATATGGGAAGAAATAAAAATGCAGCAAGGGAAAATATAGATGGTGAAAACGAAATTTTGATGCATTTAGTAGATTACTGATTATTTGTAATCACAGCCACATAAACATTTTAACCCATATATAATTCTAAAATTTAATTGAACCATTGGTTTTATTCTATCCACTGACATTTTTATTCTTATAATGCAAATAATGCATTGTAAATGTTTTCAATGAGTTTTACAAAATCCCTTGTTTTCTGCCCAAAGGACCAATAAGCAGTGAAACAACAAAAAAATCACAAGAAAACCAACAAATAGGAAAGAGAAGAGAAAAATGAATAATCTGTAAACAGCTCCTTACCAATAGAGTTTAGTGTGTAAAAGTGGGGAGCACTTCACATATTGGAAGCACATGTATCTACACCCACATGTCACATGTACACTCATAAGCACACTCCAAGGTTGTGAATACAACCCAAAGTAAAATAACTTCAGGGAATGAAGTGCCTTATATGGAAAAGAAGTGTGCACATGTACACATGGCTAGAACACCTCTCAGCACTCAGAGGTTACCTGCTGCTCTCCTCAAATCCCTCCCCATCTGCCTTTAAGTCAGCAGAACTTCTCAGGGCCTCTAGTAGCAGCCTAGTAAATTTCAATCCCCTTCCCCATCCCAGAGTTGTCCCTTTCCTCTCACTGATGCAATCTACGCCTGTTCCTTTTCCTTAAGAGCCACACTGACATTATCCTTAGAGGCCAAAATTCTCGACCATATCCAGATCACCCACTTCCACCTCAATTAGCTTCTTCATACCTCAAGGGTATTTTAAAAAATGTTTTTATTGATTTTTTAGAGAGAGAAGAAGGGAGAGGGAGAGAAGATGGAAACATCAATGATAGCAAAACATGACAGAGAGACATCAATCGGCTGCCTCCTGCACACTCCCCACTAGGGATCCAGCCTACATCCTGGGCATGTATCCTCACTGGGAATCGAACCAGCAATCTCTTGGTTCATGGGACGATGCTCAATCCACTGCGCCATGCCAGCCAGTCTCAAGGGTATTTTTATACCCCAGGCCAGCACCTTTTCTCCCTGTAATACTTCATTCTTTATCTAACCTCAAAACCTATGTGGCACACCCCAGCTGAGGCTTATCCAGCCTTCCTATGTGACTATTCATTGCTTTTCACCAGCAAGTGGTCCTCATTCTCTCCCTAACAGCTGGCCACGCTTCATGAGCACCCAACTTCACATACTATAAGGTGCTCCTCATGATACTCACCTCTTATCACCCACACGTTCTCCCTTATCCCTAGCCAAATCCATTTTATTTACTGTAAGATTCACATCCTTGGTTTCTTCCTTCATTTCACTAAGACAGGGGTGGCTGGGGAATGTCCAGCCTGTGTGCTATATAACACCAACAAAATCATTTGGTCTGGCCCTGCCAGGCATTAGGAGTAAGTTAATTAAATGTTTGACCAAATATAGCAGGCTAGTTTTTAAGTTGATAATTTTGTATGGCCCAAGAATGATGACAGAAATATCCAAATGGCCCACAAATTATGCTACAAATATCCAAAGGCTCTTGGCAGAAAAAAAAAGTTCCCCACCCCAGCACTAAGGGCTTCCTCACACATCTTCCACTTTCCACTTCCAGAACACAAACTTAACAGTCCCAAATGGAACTTGTGATCTTTCTTCTACGCTAGTTCTTCCCCACATGCACCTACATCTTTGCTATTTCAGTTAATGGTAACTCCATCCTCCCTGTTGTTCAAACCAAACCCTGTCCAATCCACCAGCAAGTCCTGGTCTTGTTGCTGCCTGTAAAATACAGACCCTGACCTCTTCTCACCACCACCTCTGTATCCAGCTAGTCCAGGTCACCATTATCTCTCCCCTGGTTCATTGACACTCTCTAAACTGGTTTCTCTGCCCTGCCTTCTCCCCCTATCCAGGTTCTTCTCTCTGGAATACATATATACTCTCACCTAGAGTTTTGCACTGGCTCATATCCTGTCTCCTTAGGTTTTTACTATATCACCCTTTTAAAATTAAGACTCCCAGTACTCCCTATCTGTGCTTTATTTGTTGCTATAGTACAAATCACCAACTTCATTTATTTTGTTGGTTCTCTCCTCTTATTAGAATATAAACCCCATGAAGGTAGACATTGTTAATATATTTTTTCACTGTTATACCTTCAGTATCTAGAAAATTACCTGCACAGAGTAGGCACTCAATAAATATTTATTGACTAAATAAGAGAACTGTTCCCAAGCTTGCTCTCTTGCCCTCTGTCCTTCCTTTCCCATGTCTCTCCTAAGATATTCTCCACAGCCCCAATCCAAGCCAGTTCTAGTGCGCATAAGGCATCTTCTCCATGAATATTATCCTACCCATTGCTCAGCATGCCCTCAGATCTCACAGTAGCTGGAGAGGAATCCATATGGAGTTGTAACCTATAGGATTGTCTGCTAAAAGAAATGAAGGACAATCTCCAACATTATTACTAAATCTTTTAACTTCTAATTTTTAAAACATGGTTTGTCGTAAATAATAACAAAAACCACACAAAAGCTTGTAAAAACTCTGCCCAGTATTATAATATTTTAAACAGCTGCTAAAAAGGCAGATACTGGATTACAATATTTTAAACAGCTGCTAAAAGGTCTTGAAAGATGAAATCAGTTAGCACAGTTCTGAGTACCCAAGGGGTGTCCAATAAATCTAAATGGATGAGGATTGAGATGAGGCTCCCAGGTTCCTCGATCTGGCAGGGCCCTCCTGAGATCACATCATCCATCCCTCTGTCTTCAGACAGATTCCATAAAATCAAGCCCCCATAAGTGGGCCACCCTCAGTGCTGCTTTTAAAGCCAGACAAGAACCCCAGATTCACAACCTCTCTTGGTTACTTGATCCCAGGGGGATGCTGAGAGCAGGGGCGGGAGTCTCTGAGTCTTTATAATCATGACATTGAAGGCTCTGATAAGCAACTCTTAGAAGGAGATGGAGGTGGGGTAAAAAAGAAAGCAACCGAGAGGGGGAAATGCAGCTAAACAGGAGTCTGGGACAGTAAGACTGAGAAGGAGTGGGTGAGAGAAGAAAAGTTGGCAGAAAGGAGTGGGTCATGAGAGAAGGAGGGTGGAAGAATTAAGTGATGAATCAGAGAAACTAAAAGAGCTAAAAAGTTTAGAGAAGGAAGAAAGAAAATAGCAAAAAGCTTTAAAAACGCACATACACCCCTACCTTCTTTACCTAAACATTGATGCATTTGGAGCAAAGCAAAACATTTTAGCCCTGCCAATTTCCCTTTGCTCCACCAACAGTGGAGCACATTAGAATGTAATACCCAAAGTGATAGAGACATATTCAGAAGAATTGAAGGAACAAGACATTAACCCAATCCTTTGCAATGTGTCAATCGTGAAACAGCTTATTATTTTCTATTGAGTTAACTAAGAAATAAATACAAACTATTTCCTTTTATCCAATTTATAATATGTTATATTAATGGTAACATATTCAAATCAAATAAATGAAAAATTGCAATAGAAAAATGTGTTGACTAAAAACAAAAGCAAAACTTTTTGATAAAATTTCCATTTGCAAAATTTGATTTAGAATAATTGGACTTGTTAGGTTTAATGTCCATAAAAGTAAAATTCTAACTGCAGATGCTATAACTGGTTGATATGAACAAAAAACCTTGATCAACAAAACAAGACCACATTGAAATTTTATATGGGAAATAAAGATTCTGATGACAATAATTTCACCAAAAGGAAAACTTGAAATTGGAAACAATTTGCCTGAGCTAGGTAGGTAAGCCAAACAGAAAGAAAGATTCCGTCCTTTGTGCATGAAAATGTTATTACTGGTAATAGAAGAGTATTTGCATTTTAAACTTGTTCCCTATGGGTAAGTCTCGAGTCTGTGAAAAAATCTTGGTGTCTGTTCAGGAGGAATAATGTGGGACAGATTGGTTATTAGGATATATCCAGAGTTCATGTGAACTCTCCTTGTCGTTGCTATTACACTAAGAACCAGAAATCACAAGTTTTGAACCGCAATTCGTTGTAGAGTC